AAACAATCATTACTTATAACTGCACCACGCTGTGAAGTGACTCTGGGCGGTTAAGGAACTCAAAAGGTGCTATGATTGATGTGACTGGAGTCAAAGGCATTAAATGTTATGATGATTCGAAAATCCTATCAAAATATTGTATAAATGTTTAAAATAGGTATTTCTCAAAGAGATCGAAATACATATTTTAAAGGGGCAATTTATTGGCTGAAGATTTTGATAATGTTATCTAGAATTCAAAAGAGTTAAGAGTTCTGATCGAAATGGAATTGAACACCATGTTTCGAAGTTGCAGAAGCAGTGTTTCGAATGAGTGTGTCAAAGCTTGAAGCTTCGAACGATGATCATGGGAAAATATCCAAAGGGGTCTCGAAACAACAGCGAGGCTAGGTTTGGGAAGAGCGTTCGAAACGGAAGAACACCAAAGCATTTAAAATTCAAATGGAAGCGGGACTTTCAAAGTTCGAAAGTTATGTGTTGGAGCATTTGGGGACACGTGGAAAGATGAAAGAAGCATTGTCTTGCATGTTCGAAACGTGGCATGATCCTATAGCGAGACCGTTAGGGTCGAATTAGTATAAATAGAAGTCTTAGTATTAGGATTTCAGTGTGTCATATCTGTTATACAAAATACTCAATAACATTCAAACTACCACATGGCAAGGGAAACGAATGCAAGAGAGATGTATGTATGATAGCACCATATATTTCTAACTTAATGAAAGCCTTTTTACCATTTCCAGTACTTTCCTCTTTTCTTTTTATCGAATAACATTTACAAGTTTCTTTATTTACTGTCTTTTCATTTCAAAGTCTTTTCCTCAAAGTTTTACGTTTTATTGCTTTCTTTATATTTCGAGCATTTTATATTTCAGAGAACTGTTACGCTTTCAATACCTTTACTTCCAAGTATTGTTTTTCAAACGCATCCTTTTACTTAAAATCATTTATAGATTTCTTGCACTAAACGCTTTCTTCACATTTTTAACTTCTACATTCCAGAAATCACTAGAAACACCCCCCCCCCTACGTCTACTCCTACTCCTACTCCTACTACTCCTACCCCTACCCCCCTACTACTCCTACCCCTACCCCCCTCCTACTCCTCCCCTACCCCCCCCCCCCTACGTCTACTCCTACCCCCCCCCCCCCCCCCCTACGTCTACTCCTACCCCTATCCACGCCTCCTACCCCTACCCCCCCCCCCCCCCCCACGTCTACTCCTACGCCTACCCCCTACCCCTACTCCCCCCCCACGTCTACTCCTACCCCTACTCCCCCCCCTACGTCTACTCCTACCCTTACTCCTACTCCTACCCTTACTCCTACTCCTACCCTTACTCCTACTCCCCCTACGTCTACTCCTACTCCTACCCTTACCCCCTACCCCCTACCCTTACCCCTACCCCTACTCCTACTCCTACTCCCCCTACGTCTACTCCTACTCCCCCTACGTCTACTCCTACTCCTAACCCCTAACCCCTAACCCCTAACCCTAACCCCACTCCTACTCCTACCCTTACCCCTACCCCTACCCCTGCTCCTACTCCCCCTACGTCTACTCCTACTCCTACCCCTACCCCCCTACTCTTACCCCCCCCCCCCCCTTACGTCTACTCCCCCCCTACTCCCCCCCCCCCCCCTACGTCTACTCCTACCCCTACTCCCCCCCTACGTCTACTCCTACCCCTATTCATACTCCCCCTACGTCTACTCCTACCCCTATTCATACTCCCCCTACGTCTACTCCTACTCCTACTACTACCCATACTCTACTCTACTCTACCCTACGCTACCCCTATCCACGCCTCATACCCCTACCCCCCTCCTACTCCTACCCCCCCCCCCCCCCCCCCCCCCCTACGCCTACCCCTACTCTACTCCCCCTACGTCTACTCCTACCCCTACTCCTACTCCCCCTACGTCTACTCCTACTCCTACTCCCCCTACGTCTACTCCTACTCCTACTCCTACTCCTACTCCCCCTACGTCTACTCCTACTCCTACTCCCCCTACGTCTACTCCTACCCCCACTCCTACTCCTACCCCTACGCCTACTCCCACTCCTAACCCCCTACGTCTACTCCTACTCCTAACCCCCTACCCCTAACCCCTACCCCTACCCCCCCTCCTACTCCTAACCCCCTACCCCTACCCCTACCCCTACCCCCCCTACCCCCCCTACCCCCCCTACGTCTACTCCTACCCCTACTCCTACTCCTACTCCCCATACGTCTACTCCTACTCCCCCTACGTCTACTCCTACTCCTACTCCTACCCATATCCACGCCTAACCCCTACCCCTACGCCTACCCCCTACTCCTACTCCTACCCCTACGCCTACCCCCACTCCTACTCCCCCTACGTCTACTCCTACTCCTAACCCCCTACCCCTACCCCCCCTACTCCTAACCCCCTACCCCTACCCCCCCTCCTACTCCTAACCCCCCTCCTACTCCTAACCCCCTAACCCCTAACCCTAACCCTACCCCCCTACTCCTAACCCCCCTCCTACTCCTAACCCCCTACCCCTAACCCTAACCCTACCCCCCTACTCCTAACCCCCCTCCTACTCCTAACCCCCCTACTCCTACCCCTAACCCCGCCTACCCTACTCTACCCCTATCCACGCCTCCTACCCCCTCCTACTCCTACCCCCCCCCTACCCCTACGCCTACCCCCTACTCCTACTCCTACCCCTACGCCTACCTCCACTCCTACTCCCCCTACGTCTACTCCTACTCCTAACCCCCTACCCCTAACCCTACCCCTACCCCTAACCCTACCCCTACCCCCCCTACTCCTAACCCCCTACCCCTACCCCCCCTCCTACTCCTAACCCCCCTCCTACTCCTAACCCTAACCCTACCCCCCCTACTCCTAACCCCCCTCCTACTCCTAACCCCCTACCCCTACCCCTACCCCTACCCCCCCTACGTCTACTCCTACCCCTACTCCTACTCCTACTCCCCATACGTCTACTCCTACTCCCCCTACGTCTACTCCTACTCCTACTCCTACCCCTATCCACGCCTAACCCCTACCCCTACGCCTACCCCTACTCCTACTCCTACCCCTACGCCTACCCCCACTCCTACTCCCCCTACGTCTACTCCTACTCCTAACCCCCTACCCCTAACCCTACCCCTACCCCTAACCCTACCCCTACTCCTAACCCCCTACCCCTACCCCCCCTCCTACTCCTAACCCCCCTCCTACTCCTAACCCCCTAACCCCTAACCCTACCCCCCTACTCCTAACCCCCCTCCTACTCCTAACCCCCTACCCCTACCCCCCTACTCCTACCCCTCTACTCCTGCCCCTAACCCCGCCTACCCTACTCTACCCCTATCCACGCCTCCTACCCCCTCCTACTCCTACCCCCCCTACCCCTACGCCTACCCCCTACTCCTACTCCTACCCCTACGCCTACCCCCACTCCTACTCCCCCTACGTCTACTCCTACTCCTAACCCCCTAACCCTACCCCTACCCCTACCCCCCCTCCTACTCATACCCCCCTACTCCTAACCTCCTACTCCTACCCCCCCTCCTACTCCTACCCCCCCTCCTACTCCTAACCCCCCTCCTACTCCTACTCCTAACCCCCCTCCTACTCCTAACCCCCTAACCCCTAACCCTAACCCTACCCCCCCTACTCCTAACCCCCCTCCTACTCCTAACCCCCCTTCTACTCCTAACCCCCTTCCTACCCCTACCCCCCTACTCCTACTCCTAACCCCCCCTCCTACTCCTAACCCCCTACCCCCCTACTCCTACCCCTAACCCCGCCTACCCTACTCTACCCCTATCCACGCCTCCTACCCCCTCCTACTCCTACCCCCCCCCCCCCCCCCCCCCCCCCCACGTCTACTCCTACTCCTAACCCCCTACCCCTACCCCCCCTACTCCTACTCCTAACCCCCCTCCTACTCCTAACCCCCTACCCCTAACCCCCCTACTCCTACCCCTAACCCCCCTCCTACCCCTACCCCCCCCCCCCCCCTCCTACTCCTACTCCTAACCCCCCCTCCTACTCCTAACCCCCTACCCCTACCCCCCTACTCCTACCCCTAACCCTACCCCCCCTACTCCTAACCCCCCTCCTACTCCTAACCCCCTTCCTACCCCTACCCCCCCCCCCCCCCTACTCCTACTCCTAACCCCCCCTCCTACTCCTAACCCCCTACCCCTACCCCCTACTCCTACCCCTAACCCCGCCTACCCTACTCTACCCCTATCCACGCCTCCTACCCCCTCCTACTCCTACCCCCCCCCCCCCCACGTCTACTCCTACTCCTAACCCCCTACCCCTACTCCTACTCCTAACCCCCTACCCCTAACCCCCCTACTCCTACCCCTAACCTCGCCTACCCTACTCTACCCCTATCCACGCCTCCTACCCCCTCCTACTCCTACCCCCCCCCCCCCCCCCCCACGTCTACTCCTACGCCTACCCCCTACCCCTACTCCCCCCCCCTTACGTCTACTCCCACCCCCCCCCCCTTACGTCTACTCCCACCCCTACTCCTACCCCTACTCCCCCCTACCCCTACCCCTACCCCCTACCCCTACCCCTACCCCTACCCCTACCCCTACCCCTACCCTACCCTACCCTACCCTACCCTACCCTACCCTACCCTACCCTACCCTACCCTACCCTACCCTACTCTACTCTACTCTACTCTACTCTACTCTACTCTACTCTACTCTACTCTACTCTACTCTACTCTACTCTACTCTACTCTACCCTACCCTACCCTACCCTACCCTACCATTATTATTATCATTTTTAAAAATCCAACCATCTGTAGAAAAATATAAGTTCCAAAATAGTCCTAATATTTATCATTAATTTGGCAATTTTGCTTTAAAGACAAATTTCATGGAGCGAAAGTTCAGAATAGTGTATACAAGTTGTATAGTCTAAACTAACATAAAATTCGTCCATCCTAACAAAGTACAGTTTCATTCAGGGGATAGATTTGACTTGAAAAATATTTATGACCGTGAGGCACCCGAAACCAAACTTTTGAGAGCAGACATTTGGCTCTCCAGAATCTCTCTAATTATATTCGATGCACAACTGTCTTCCTGCACAAAATAGAAAAGAAGAAAAAAAATAGTTTACAATCTAAACATTGAATTGGGCGAGCATTCAAAATAATCTTATACACATTTACAAATATATCAACCACTCCCAGAAATATCACATACCCATTTTAAAATAGTTAATGCAACATGTTCTTGTGAAATTCGGATTTATTTTCTAATTATTCAACAAAGACATTGGAAAAACTTGCTCGAGAAACTTCAATTCCAAGTCTTACTCACGTTTAAAACTTAACAGAAGACGGTTTAGAACAAAAGTTTGATTACTTTGATATCTTAGAGAAGAATGATCAAAATTCTGTGAGATCAACCATAATAACGTGTATAAATGAACAGTGCATGAAAAGAAACTACTCACGTCATCAGGAGTAGCTGATAGTGTCAAAAGAGTAACGGCAGCAGCTTGATAATCAGCTATAATCTTGCAAGCTGTCTCGTCAAGCTTATCCTAACAAATAAAACATGTGAACCAAAATTAGGGAAAAGTTACAGAAGACGTTTTACAATATTTTATGGATATTTGAATTGTTTTACTAGTACCTTACAAACCCCCCCATTAACTACTTTAGGTTCTCTAAGATATTATTCATTCAGATTTTGATAAAACATAAGTTAAACATATATTACTGCAAGCTTTCCAGTCCTGAAGAGTGTTCATTGTTCTTGCAGAATCCATGAGAACTATTTTTCCTTGGTTGACTAGTACTTAACAAACACACACTATTTGCTACTTTAGTTGCCTAAGATATTCATTCAGCTTTTGATAAAAAATACGTTAAATATATATACTTTTGGAAGCTTTTCTGTCCTAAAAAGTAATCATTATTCATGCAGAATCCATGAGAACTATTTTCCTTGATTGCCTGCTGTCAGATTATTGTCAAAACTAGTGCAAAAATGAGCCTAAAATCTATTGCCTGTGAAGTATTATGCTCTGATAAGTGTATAGGTGTTACAATTATCTCTCAACAAAATAAGTGCAAGAAAGCTAATAGTTTTTACCACTATAAGATACGGTTAAATGCAAAAAAAAACCCTAGATATGGTTAAGTGCCTGTGAACTATATTTGAGAATGTAAAAAAACCCTAGATATGGTTAAATGCAACATACAAGAATCATGACTAACACTTTTGCATTAAACAGCCATTCAAGTGTAACATGGAATAGATTATGCTCTGATAAAGTTTTTATGATCTATCTGAGATATTGAACAGCAAAACAAGTAAGAAACCACATATAATGTCCATATCTTTGTTAAATATCACCACCAAATCATATTTTAAATACAAGGGCAATGAGGCATCACTGTTTATCTCAGGGTTCAACAACATTTTTCAGTACTTACTGTCAGTTGATATACAAATACTTGTTTTGATTTCGGCAATTACTATTATTTCAGTTGTCTTGATGCATAATTAAGCATATGGAAAGAACATACCATCAATTGAGAAATAGCAACAGAAATGGCCCTTCCAGGGGCTTGTAGAGCTTTATGGTAAACCTGTTAATACAAATACATGTTAATGATGGGAATAAGAGTTTTTTTTTTTGTTGAGGTGAGGGGGAAGTAGCATCAAGTTACCTGGACATAGAGTAAAGACACGACTTTCGGCAGAAGTGATACAGGGTCAGTCTCAGCCGAAACTTGAAATGTCAATTCCTGATGATAACAGTGATAGAAGACACGGTTTAAGATCATCCAAATTGCAGAATATCATGGCAAAAACAAACAAAAATTCTATGTAAAATGGACGGGTCTGCTAATATTAGGAATTACAATTTAAACAATCTTGAATATCAGATATAGCATACTGAAATTGAAAAGAATATCAAATAAATGTTTAATAATGGGGCCTTGCAAACCAAAGTCACGTGAAATATAGTCCTTAAGCCAGTGGGAAAATATCTCATTGTTGCCTATGGGTATTTACAATTGAAGTTGGTCCATGTGACTCTATTCACTTATTAAAGCCTCGTTTAGGGACCAAATATTACACTAAAATCTTTTGCTTGAATAATATATTTTCTTGAGCCCGCTGTTTGGCTCTTCCTAGCCATGGCTGTCCTTAAACATTGGCCTCAATACAATCGGGACATAAAGAAAGTCCTCTCCAATGGTAATTTACAAGTTTACATGGATTAACTACCTGGATTTATTGCTAGGTGGGATTTGGGTTGGGGTGCAAGCAGTAGAAAACATTGTATGGTCTGAAATAATCATCTTGGTGAAACCGACAAGAACTAAATATAGGACATTCTTGGAGGTTACTTTGAAAGTTGAAATGTCCCATTATAACAACCACCAAAACAAAAGCTTTTACGCACTAGCTGGGGTTTGTTACATCTACCTATCCATCTATCTATCTATCTATCTATCTACCTAACTATCTATCATGATAACGAGATTAAATATCTCCTTAGTAATGCTCGTGAGTGCAGTAAGTAAATTCCTTGATTCTACGTGTGACTCTAACCGTGATATTGTTGTTCAAAGACATAGATACGTTCGAAGAGCATTTACAAAAATGTTAACTAAACAAAGATAGCAAGCATGTGTAAATTTGTGCTTATATAGATGCCAGTTGGGAAGCAAATTTATCTTATTTAAAAGCTCTATTTTGGCCATGACACTGTTTACTTTGGAGGAAATATAATATCATGGAAAAGAAGCAAACAGTTTTCAAATCAAGTGCAAAAGTTGAGTATCAAATGATGGGTACTGAAGCCTATGAACTGCTGCTCTAACAATTTAAACAACTATGAATTGCAACCAATGAAACTAGTGTGGCAACCATGTTGCACTACATATATCTTGAAATCCTATTTTTCCTGAAACATATTGAGATTAATTGCCATGTTGCACCAGAGAAAATTCAAATGCAAGAGATCGTAACAATATCCACATTATATTTGTCAACTTGCATACACTGAGGCCTTTAGAGGTCACCAGACCAGCTATATACATGACAAGCTATAATAAGTGATTTCCAGCTCCACGGAAAGTGTAAGAATATCTTAGATAATTAAGCTACTGTTTCACCTGTGTCGTAGAATCAATTAGGAGCAATCTTAGGAACTATTGTAGGATAGAAAACTGAATATCTTGAATCGTTGTAATTAACACTGACATACATATATATAGGAGAGGATGTAAACAGAAAAATGGTCTAACAGTATATAAGGCCCAATAAGAGGGCATAGGGGGGCAGCAAGATTAGAGGAAAATAGATAAGTCATTGGCTAGGGAAAGGGTTGTCAGTGCATGTGGTATCAAGCCAGTTGTTCATTTGCATTGTTGTGGTAGGGTATTGTGTCTATTTTATTGGTGGAAGGAGCTGAGCTCCCTCATTATTTAAGTGGAATTGGTCTGTCTTATAATAGTTGTAAACAAACTAATTCAGGAGTATTTCTTCTTGTCATTCTAAAGTTTTACTAAACTTATAGTTTCAGTACATACCTTACGATATGAATGTAGAAGTGTCCTTTCTAGTTTCTTGTCTAGCTTTTTCAAAGGCAGCCCGCTGGAAAAATTAATCACATGAGGTTTAACGTCAAGAGAGAAGCTTTGGTAAAAGCAACGCTATAAGTACTACTAACAAAAAAGACAAGTTATTACCTCTCTTCTGTCACAGCTCTGAATGAAGACATGAATGTTTCCACCCTCTATTGTATTGAATATTCAAATATTAGTTGCAGCATTCAAAAATCAAACAGAAAAATAAGTTTCAAGTTATAACAAGATATTTCCAGCCAACCAGCTGCAATTGTGAACTGATGAGTGATTGAGTGAACCTTATACAAATAGCCTTAACCATAATGTTTCAGAAATAAAAATGCTTACCTTTCCTTCCAATGCTTCTACAACAGCAAGAGCCTTATTTGAAAGAGCTCCTGGAAAACTCTTGGACTACAAAAGAAAATAACAATAGATGTAGTATTTGAAGTCATTTTATGTGTTCCACTAAAGAAGATAGTTTACAAATATCTAAGATTTGATATACTAAACGCATCAGAACAGAAAAGCATAACTTTCCAAGTAATGTAATATTCTTACTGTTGAAAACTTAATATAGCTATTGTTCCAGATTCAAAGTAGAATTAAACTTCACTGTATCATAGGATTCATTGCATATTAAGATTGGTAGTATCTTGTGAAATTATGTTTGCTTTGATTAAACTTCTTGTGAAATTTATTCATTCTGATTCTGACTATAAACATCATTATGCAGAGTATTATCATTTCATATTTTCCTCTCAAGTCTTACAATTGCAGCTCTATCTCCAGGACTAAACGAAATAGACTCAGAATTTGGAGATTCCTGCACTTCTACTCCGTTCTTTAATTTGTTCTGCTCATCCTGCAAAAGGATGAATCCATAGTGTTTTTAGATCTTATTACACCTCAAGAAATATCAACAGAATAATTGCTGTATATAATACCAAGTCATGAAGAAGCATGTCAACCATAGGAGCTGCTACTGTCCTTAGTAAATGCCTATGCAAAACAACCTGGGCATCAAAGATACATTAATTTATTCATGTTTCAACAGTGAAAATAACATTTTCAAATTTCAATTAACTTGACTTACAGAAATTGATTGATCATCTTCAAACAATTCTAAGGCTTTTTCATACAGTTGCATGTTTAAGAAAGACTGCCAAAAAACAAATCACAGAAGGACATGTTCAGATAAGTATCCAATGAGAGCATCTTTAGTGGGGTGAATAATAAGGAACTAAAATGGATTAATTAATTTGTATTTTGTGGGACCAAATTGCCAAATAGGATTTAAAGAATTTGCAATTGATCTATTCTTTTTTTACTTTAATGGTGGTTGTTTATAAATAACTCAAAGGTGACCCCACATATTTATATTTATTTATTTGTAATTATTTTTAACAGTGAACTCAACACTATAAGAATTTATTATCTTTCATCTCAATAATATAAAATTGTTATTTTTATGACAGATGAGATTTAGTTGCCATTGCTTCTATAGAGCATCCAAAATTATATATGATGCCATGTCATCTTTCTATAATGCCGGTTGTCTACAAGCAACGTAAACTATAACAAACGTTTGCCTTACGTTACCAGCATTAAAGATGCTCTAAGGAAAGATTAAATAAAGTACCAACATTGACACAGTGGACGAAGAAAGTACAAAAAGATACTACAGAGCAGTCACACCTCATCGAGTTTTTTCTGCAAATTATCAAGCAATTGTTTCATTCTTTCTGCATTGTCTTTAAACAATGTCTTCCTTTTCTCCATCCAAGTATTGATTATTGTGGGCCTTAACTTGTTAGCCAAAGGCCTAAGAATTGTTTCAGGATCATCAATACCTATCAATTAATAGCACATAATTTAAGAAATTGGATAAAATGCATATGCAGAAAGAGTATATCCAAAGTCATAATTAGAAGACCTTGTTCTTCAAAATCAGGAACCAAGGCTGTAATCTTCTCCATGATCCATTCTTCTGAGGGACTACTGAGATTATCCTCTTTCATTTTAAGTGATTCTTTCCTAGAGCCTTGCTTTGAATCTGATGTTTGTGAAGATGTATCCTTACCCTTTCTCTGGCTTTTCTTAGATTTGGTAGAAGTATGCTCTTGGTTATCAGCACCACTTTCAGATTGATTTGCTAATGCATTTCCAGTGGCTTTCCCCTTTTTCTTCTTTGGCCCTTTATCAGCATGCTTGTTGGAGCCACTGTCACTTGCCATTTCACTGGACACACTCAACCTGCTTGAATCATACCCTGCTTTTACTTCATTGGCTATTGGTAAATCACCAGGTTTTACAGTGCCCAAAGACCTTGAAACAGCTAATGTCTCTAATTCTTTCACCGGACAATTGCAAATGTCCTAATAGATGGGGGACAGAAGCATTTAGACATTAGGAAACCAGTGATATAAAAAGAAGAAAAAAAGTTACAGATAGACATATTCTATTCAACAGTAACTTCATTCTTGGCTGTTGGCACTTAAGTACCAAAAGGGGGAAGGATAAAGAAGCCAAAATCTGGATGCAGTGAGGAAATACATTATAGGAAAGAATTCTTAAGCCCAGCAGGATGCACACACATTAATCACGCATCTAATACAACTGTTCTGTACAATACATGACACTGCAGTCATTTTATATCATCACTATTTTTTTGGAGTTCCCATGCCACGGTAGCTATGGAATGGTTAATTGGTGACCATGAAGTAATTTGATGTACCATTTGATTCAGCACCTCTGAATCTATTGCAAGCAAATTCAATATAACTAGCACAATTTTTTGTTCTCATTGACTATACTCGCGGAAAATTATGTTTATTAAATCTTGTAAACCAATATTTAAACCAGGCCTTATTAGTTGCATTTGCACCACAAAATCAGTGACATGGCTCGTAGAATTAACTCAAGGATCTTGAGGTCTATATGACTACAATAAATTCCACAACAAACCTTCATAAAGCTGCTGCTCAATACATAGAAGTCCCCAAATATATGTGCTTTGTTAGACTGCAAAAAAAAAAAATAATTTATCAAATTGAGACTCGACAGAGCAAAGCGCAAATTAATAAGGTAGCTAGTATCACCTTAAGAGCCAATTGTACAGATTGACAGAGGAACAACATTTTAGATGCATCTTGAGGTGTAAAAGATGAGGGCAATAAGGAAAGAGAATCACTCCTGCAACATTTTCATGTCAGTAAGGATTTGATGCATTGAAAAAATATCGAATGTGTAACTAACTACAACTTTTGTAAACAATGTAAAGGGATTCCTTGAACTGCATGTGTGTGTGTGTGTGTTTGTTTGTGTGTTTTGTAAACAATGTAAAGAGATCTCTTGCACTGTGCGTGTGTGTGTGTGTGTGTGTGTGTGTGTGAGAGAGAGAGAGAGAGAGAGCATAGAAGAGAAAGGAGAACGGGAACAGTCATTATCATCCAGTTGCCATAATCATTATCCATATGAAGAAAGTAATGTTAAAATAACAAGGAAACAGCTAGCACGTTAAAGACCCCTTAAAGCTTATCTATGAGCATGTTTTGTAGTCTAATTTGGACTTTTTCCCTGTGCGAACAACTAGGTGATGCAGAAGTAGGAAGAGTGAGGACAAATCAAGGTATTGAATCTGATCAACTTACCAACGTAAAAAGGGATGAAACAGAAACAGAAACAGAAATTGAGGATTGGGGTGGGGCTTATGCTAAGTGTCTTACCAGCTACCACGTTCTAGAGCATCCTCAGTAGCAGCATCTAGCATCTCAATCATTGATGGGTGACAAATGTTGTAATAAGAGGTTTGCCTTCAGGATATCTGGGACTAAATTAGATTGTGCAAACTTAGGCTTCATTATGAAAACATTTAGTACAGAGTATTTATTTCACAAATATCTATATATGATCCAAATGGTTATTATTTGGATATAGAATCAACATAAGAACAACTTAGTTACCTGCAAGAATTGAACGGGCTGAGGAATTCCAAGTTTTTGCAGAACGTCATAGCTGATAAAAGAATTCTAAAGCACACAAATGCAGCACAACATGAATGGAGCAGTTCAGTAAACAAGTACATTCAAACAAAGCCTATAAAGACAGTTATCTAGCTCAAACCAATGGATCATATGCTATTATTACTAGGTGAAATGTTTGGCATCTTAAGCAAAAGAGAAAAACGATAGAAGAGAGAGTTCATACTTGTGATAAGAATGAATCCACAGATTCCTTTTGAGCAACAGCAAATACCTATCATGTGACATAAAAACACAATAAACAACTTCAAATAATTAATATGGGAACTAAGTTAATGGCATCAATGCATATGCCACAACAGTTGACTACTAGTACTGCCACTGCCCCCTATAGACACTAACAGTAAAAGGATTATAGAGTTATAAATTAGAGGTGGAGTATAGCAAAAGAATTTGGAAATTATCCCAATTTTTGTCAATCAAACAATTAAACAATAATGTGTAACAAGAAGTGAACAGCTCCAAATGCCTAAATCAAATATGAAAACCATAAAATTCAGGCATCAATTAAAGAAATATCCAATCTATGTCAAATCATCACTCACAGCTGGTGTCCAATGCACTCCAGCATGTACAGACCCTGAAATTTCACCTCCTTTCACAAGTCCATTGAACAAAGACTGGAAGAAAGATCCATCAACAGCCACACCACTGGCTCCATCCCTTTCTTGCAGTAAATTCTGCAACGAGCTCCATAACACTGTCAAATTTGTCGGAACTGTAATGCCCCTAGCAGCACCTCGAACCATGGCACTAACACGAGCAACATAGGCAGGAGTATACAACTGCCCACCTTCAAGCCTTCCTTTAACCTATTCACAAAACAATCATTTATCAAATCACAATTTCCACTTACCACTCCAAAAACATACCAAAACCAACACAAAACAAAACAAACAAACAAACAAACAAACAAACAAAACTCACTATAGTTCCAAGACGCGGCTCCAACACAGACGCAATCAAATCCAAACCAACATTCAATTGCGCAGCAAGTTCCGTCAAAGCAATCTGACTACATTCTTGAAGCCTCTCGTTAATCTCTTCCGCAATCGAATCCCAGTAAGATTCCGTAACGATTTCCCCTTGAGTCAACATCAATTCCCCGTGATCAGTTATAATACTCTGAGCCAATTTCTCAACATAGTACAAGTAAACTCCAGTAACATCAGCAAGATCAATCACAGAAATTCGCCCTAATCTCTTCACCTCAGTCACCATCTCATTTCTCAGTTGATCCTATCGACCGTATAAACAAACACTTGATTAAGATCAATTATAACACAATGAATTAGGTTAAAAGCAAGAAAATACAATCGATTATCAAGAATCAAATCCGTTAAACCTAATTGCAAAAAATAATAAAAGACGCAGCAAAGAGCGTACGAGAGTGATGTACTGTTTGCCGGAAGCAGTGTGAAGAAGCTCGAAATCGATGACTTGAAGTTGCTGCAATTTCTGGACTAATTCAACGACGTTTCGATCGGATAATCGAATACTGGACTTCGCTTGTTGAGCGAACTCGAACTGTCTCTGCAACTCGAGCAATTCGTCGTCCATGTTTCGATCTTCACGGACGCGGTGAAATTTGCAATGCCTTTAACTTTTGATCTTTCGCGATTTCTAATACTGTTGCGTGTTTTGATGATCCCTGGAAATGATGCGTCGTTCTTCAGTTTTTGGGACTATAGTGAAATAGCGAAGCGTTTTTCAGCCGTTTCTTCGCCCTTGATTGTTTCTTGCTCAATAAACAGTTAAATTTCTGAAAAGTATGTCATTTTTTTTATTTTTTTTATTAAAATTGGTTTTTTATACATTTTTTAACATGTTTTACCTTGTTGATATACCTTGTTGAAAAGATGTTTATGTAGAAAACAACGTTAAATCAAAAATTATTAGTTTTTTTACTTTTAAAAATATCTTTCACAAAAATATATTTGATTTTTATGTTAAAATCTATTATCTATCTATTATCTATTATCTATATATTATCAAAATAATTATAAAAATAAATATTTACCATATCATCTTAAATTTATTTATTCAACTGTGATAAATATGTGTCTCTTAGTTAATTACATTTATAAATAAATATCGTGTATTAGTGATATATATTAAATTTATTATCTTAATGTCTAACTAATTAAAATGAATTTATTATTGTCAATCAAAAATTATAATATTAAATAATAATATAATATTATTATTATATACGGGAAAAAGAATAAATTAAATCTAAGAATATCGGAAAATTTATTATAATATTAAATAATAATTTAATATTTACTATTACAATGAATCATATATAACATTTTAAAATTATGTATTTATTTCTTATGTTTTATTATATTCGATTTGTAATAAATATTTTTCAGTTTATTGCGAATTTTCAATAATTAAATATTAATGATATTATATAAAGTTAATTTCATGAAATAAATTTATTTAATAAAGTGTTATATAAATATTTAATACATTATATTATATCATTAATTTATATAAAATAATATTAACTTATTCCTATTTATAAAATTATTGTAACTTTTTTCCGGTTTATAAGCATGTTGAATTCGTGTGTCCATTATTAAAATATATGTAATTTACTATTATTGATATAAATAATTTTATAAATAGTTTAATTTATTACATTTATAAAATTATTTGTAATTTATTCACCTTTATAAAATTAATTATAAATTATTTAATTTATTAAAATGATTGTATCAATAATTTTTTATTTTATCATAAATTTTTATGATTATCATTTATCATTAAATTTTCATGATTACCATTTAATATTTTTTTATCATGATTACAACTATAAAGTTAATTTGAAAAGATTATGATATATTTTAGTTATTTCATAAACTTAAAAAAATTATCAAATCTCAATTGATTTTGTTTTGTTTTATTAACCTTTTTACAGAAATTGAAATAATTTATTTTAGGTCAAATAAGAATCTAAATAATTACAAAATAATATTTATTCTTACATTTATAGAATGATAAATTAAATATTTAAGATAAACATTAGAGTTCTTATTTACTTTATCTTTTATATATTTATAATATACTTTTTTTGTTAATTTTATTAACAATATATTTATAGTTAATAATACATCCTTTAAACTACGTTATTTTTTTCAAGAATATAAATGTAACCTTTCAAAAAATATACACAAATATATTTAGAAGTCGGTAGAAAATTTTATTGGTTAAATTATAATTCCATTCAAAATTTATTGATCATAAATTTTTGAAATCAAATCATGCATAAAAATAAAATGTATTAATGTGACCATTCAAAATATTTTCTATATATAATAAAAATAAATAATATTAATACCTCCATTCAAAAGATATATTTGTAAAGTTTTGATTTAATTTTTTTCATATCTTTATATATTTTAATGTATATAATATTCCTACAATATGAAACAGTATCAAACCTATAATATTAAAAGAGAATTCAAATTTTATTGATCATAATCTTTTATGGAATCAAATCATATATAAAAATTAAATATATTTATGTCACCATTCAAAATAATTTCCATATAAGTATAATAAAAATAAATGATAATAACGTCTCCATTCAAAAGATATATTGGTAAAGTATCGAATTAAATGGTACTCCAATATTTGATTAAAAAATTGTAATATTTGTTTTTAATATTGTAATATTTGTTGGGCATGATAAAAAGCCACGCCATAAACTTTTCATGGGAGAAGACCGCAATCCGTTATTCAATTTGTTAGATTGGTCCCCTACTGATTCAAGTGTGAAATCAATTATCAGCCTCCATATCTATACATATTCCAAAAGAAAATCGATTAAATCAAGAAAATAAATACAAAAATCTCAATTAGATACAAATAAATATAATAGTAAGCAAAATAAACAACAAAATTGATGAGAATATATTGTCTTCTTTTATCAAACTTCTTTTATCAAAGATGTGATGGGAGAAATTGAAATTTAAATAGATCAATAATAAATTGAAAGAGGAAGCAAAAGAAATAAACTTCTATCTATTTGGGGAATCAATCGTAAATATATATGTGTGAGCTTTGTATTCACCAAGACTAAACAAATAAAAAAAGCCAAAACTCAACCTCATATTTTAATTAAAAAAATAAAAAAAATTGAGAAATAAAATCTGAATAAAAAAAAACATACCTAACAGCAAAAAAAAATAAACAATATCATGGTTGTGTTGTTCGTCACATGCAAGCTCAAAAATCCCCTTCTGCAACTCTCAAACCTAAAGATAAAGATATCCTATTTTAGGTGTCAAGTTAAGCTCTTTTTTTTTTTGGAAAAGGAGAAATAGTAAGACAACCCTGAAAACGAAAAGAATACAACATAAAATATGATATTCCGAACTATATTTCAGTTTCAACTTTCAATCACTGACCTTCGTCACTTACATATGTATGAATCAAATTAACGTTAAAAATTGCATTTGAAGGAAATTCTTTTATAGATCTATAATGGGTGTTGTTGGTTATTGATGTTGTTGAGATTCAGAGGTCTTGGTTGCGACCACCATTCTTACGCTTGAACGTCTGAAACAAATAAATTAACACGTTAGGATGAGAATATTATATGGTTGAGATTACAACGAAACGAAATTGACAGCAACAAAGAGAGAAGAATGAAAAGAGATGGAGCGGTGCAGGAAGAAGATGAAATTAGGTAAGAAGATGAAATTAGGTTTTCTGATTTGTGTTTTAA